CCCAAACCCCCCCCCCCCCCCCCCCCTCGTTCTGCATTTTTGCAGGGATAAAGCTGGCGGGGGACACGCTAGGAGCTGGTCTGCAGGAATTCTTGGGCGACAAGGACAAGATGGTGGCGGCCACCGCGACGTTGACGGCCATGGCCCTCGGCATCTACACCGCTAGAACAGGCACAGGTTCGTTAATGCGGGGCGGAAGGGGTGGCGATCTTTTATTTGAAAAGAGGGCGGCGGAGTCGGAAATTCCCCGTCCGAAAGCCCCGACTCATTCCACGCAGAGGAGATGCTACCCTGCTCGTGTGTTTTGGGCAGCATTGTGAACCGGTAGCTAGGGAGGGCTGGGCTCGAACCCCACTAATAGCTATTTGCGTGCGCGATGTGTTTTTTGTTGCCGCGATTGTTCTCGTTGGTCTTGACGCCAGCAGCGGTTTGCATGACCACTTGACTATTGCCGCTGCCGCACCTGTGAAACCTGACGCTGCAAGTCTTTGATCGCCCTGAAGCCTCCCGTTCACACCTTCCGGTGCATTTGACTCCTGATTGTTTTCGCACGTTTGTTGTGCAGGCGTGGCCGGGCGTTACATCGAGGCACGGCTCGGAAAGCCTTCCTTGGTTCGGGAAACCTCAAGACGCACGCTTATCCAAACCGTCCGCAACCCGATCCCCACCATGAAGCGGGCCTTCGGCATGCACAAGGTGGGTGTGGGTGAATTAACTCGATTGCCAGTGGTGTGGGATTCGTTACGTGTTGTGCTGCGTGATGAGTGTGTTGGCGATGCGTGGGTGGTGAATAGCGGCAGCGGCAGCGCGCACGACGTGACAGGGTGGGATTGAGGTGGAGACTAGATGGAGATCGAAGTGGTCCGTGATGTCGTTTTGCCTTCTTTATATGCATTAGGTTAGGTGTTGCGGACATGCAAGTGCGGTGGTTGCGGCATCCTCTAGAGATCGAAAGGGTGTTAGACCTTTCATGCGTGCGTCGTGTTCGCTGTTGCGTTATTTCGACCTTCTGACTTGCAACCAGGGGCGAGGTTTCAGCGACTTCCAATTCGAAAGAAATTATTTCCTCGTGATCTCAAGTCAGTTGTTCAAACCCACTGCTCTCTAGTAGTAGAACCGCAAATATCTGGCACTGTTTCGGTCAGCGATTGTGATTGCACTGAGAGCCCGAATGGACCCACCCACTCGGCCAACCTTGACCAATCACGTTACACCTCAGCCAACCTTGACCAATCGCATGGATCTCATCACAAGGCACGGCCGACAATCAGCCATGTAACCCATCCTCCAAAAGTTCACGAATATGCCATGTTGTGTACATATTTCGTGGAGTGCTCCACAGTGAGCCCACCATACACACTATCGCGTGCCGCCTAAACAGCAGTACCAGAAAAATTTATGCATTTACCGCATGAAATAAACGGATCAAAATCGTGCAACTTACATATTGCGTGTACATGCAACGGCGACGGCAGGTGGAAGACGCCCTTAGCGGCGTTGTTTTGGAGAAGGGCCTCGAGACGCGACTGTCGAGAGTGGCTCAGTCGACCTTCAACACCAAGCGGAATAGCGCGCCTTTCAGACACCTTCTTCTCTACGGTGCGGCGTGCTGCTTTCTTTCAGCCACTGGACACATGCGTGTGTTTTCCTTTTTTGTGTACAGATGGCAGACGAGCCGTGCAAGTGTTTATGTTGTTCGCGCTACTTGAATCCACGACAGATTGTTCTTCATCGTTTTCGGGTTTGCATCTCGTTACCCCCACGGTTCCAACTCTGCTGGGTTGTCGGGTTTCCAGCGAAATGGATTGTCCACACCACACCGCAAATCGTTTACCACGACACAAGAAAACACCTCTCCGGTGATATCTAAAATTTTGGCCTGTATAATGATTGTCACGGGGTGCGTGGGGTATGTTGGTACATATCTAATGTCGCCCTGTTGTATGATATTCCATCGTAATTTTTATTTTTGTGTTTTGGTAAGTGTTGACCTACAAGAATATCCCCACCGGGCGTTGGTGTTGTGTGTGGGGCGCTGCTGACTTACGCGGATATGTCATGCTGCTGACTTTTTTTTTTTTCTCTACAGGACCCCCTGGTACCGGTAAGACTCTCTTCGCCAAGGGATTGGCGCGCCACTCCGGCCTGGAGTACGCCATCATGACAGGTGGCGACATCGCCCCGCTGGGAAGGGACGCGGTCACGGAGATGCACAAGGTCTTCGACTGGGCTCAGGTGCGGCAGGATTATTCATTCTCTCCTGCGCGTCCAGGAGCCTGTTTTTTTTTTTTTTTTTAACCTGTCAGTTTGTGGAAAACACGCAAGCAATCACAGAGAGACTTCCCGTCCGAGATATAAGCACGTTCGTTTTTTTCCGGAACCGATTAGTATGTTGGCACAGGCTGTGCTGCGCTGCCTGGTTGTTTCATTTGTCGGTGGAGCCAATCGTTGGTTTGGTTCCGTCTCGCAGCATCTTCCGGAATGAAATATCACTCGGGATCGACGGCGAGAGACCTGGGGCGGTAGGTGATCGCTACCTGGTCTGCGTGTCAGTGGGGTGCAAACACACCTACACACCCTTCCGCCTGGTTGTTGACCTTTGGTCCTTCATGCTAGCCGAGAGGGATTGACGACGAGGGTACGTGTTTAATTGAGTGCCCCCCCCTCGCCTCTCTCTCTCTCTCTCGCTCCTCGTGGTGACCTTGTTCTGCAGGCGAGCCGTAAGGGCCTCCTGCTGTTCGTAGACGAGGCGGACGCCTTCCTTCGGCGGCGCAACACGGAGACCATCAGCGAGGACCTTCGTAACGCCCTCAACGCCTTCCTCTACCGGACGGGAGAATCGACGGTACGAGAACCGCGAACCTAGATATCGGGACAGAAAAGTACAGCAGCAGTGAATGCGGTTGAAGCCGCCCGGTTTTCATTTTTGATACCTCAAGGGAGGATGCTTTTCGTTCCATCGTGAACAAGGCGGCAGTAGTAATAGTTCCCATCACGCTATGTTTTTTATCGACGCGTCCAAACGGCCGACGTTGGTTTAGCTGCGAGACGCTTGCCCTGCCTTGCGACTGCCGTCGTTGGTTTTTCCTCGATCGGCACGTCCTCGTTTGTCCTTTGTTGTGGCGACTCGAGTCCTTTTTTCTCCCGACCGTGCCACTTGTTGTACGGTATGGCCTTCCGTGTTGTGTGACGGCGGCTGATGCGTCCCGTGAATTCTTCTGCCAAGGTGTAAAGAGTCATGTCCAGAGTGAACGCGGCGACACCTATTCGCACATGCTATTATTTGTGTATGGCTATTATCGTGGAGGGATGTGTCCTTACCGGCGCCTTGCATGGCTTTCCTGGAGCGACTTCGTGGCCCCCCGGTTTTGTTCGAAAGTGCCGTCTCGCCGATTGCCACGTTACACCGCGAACACCCGACACGCTTGCGTGTGATACCGCACCATTCCGTACCGTAACGCACCGTACCCAACGGCAAGTTCGTGCTGGCGTAGGAATCTCACCAACCCATCCGGCAATCACGCGTGGGATATCATACCAATACATCTCACCGTACAGCACCAAGGGCAAGCTGATACTGGCCTTCGCATCTCACAAGCCCATATGGCATCCACGCGTGTGGCACCATACCATGCTATGCCGTACCAAGACAGGGTCATACTGATGTACGTGTCTGACAAGTGTGTTCTTACCGCCACCATTCCATACCATACCGTACAGTACCGAGACGTTTTCATACAGACGTACGTCTCTAACCATGCACGCGTGTGATACCGCACCATTCCGTGCCTTACCGTGCCTTACCGTGCCTTACCCAAGGGGAACCTCATGCTGGCGTATGCATCTCACCAGCCCATCCGGCATCCATGCGTTACCACACGGACCAGTTCATACTGATGTACGTGTCTAACCGTGCACGTGTGTTTTACCGCACCATTCCGTACCGTACCAGGACAAGTTCATGCTGGTGTACGCGTCCAACCAGCCGGAGCAGTTCGACTGGGCGGTGAACGACCGCATCGACGAGATGGTGCCCTTCGACCTACCCGGGCGAGAAGAACGCCTGCGCATGGTAAACCTCTACATGAAGAACTACCTCCTCGACCCCCCGGGAAAAGCGAAGGTCATCAGGGTCGACGGAATCGAGGTATGTAGGCGCTCGGGCGCCTGCGGAGGCCGTGCGGTCTCGCTACTTGCTACGTTCCGCTTTTTGGTTATTTCGGTCTTGCCATTGCGAATACGTTCAGGGATTTTTGGCGAGGCCGAGGGTGTTCGGTGTATCTGCAACTTTCCGGTCGCAACTTCCGCCTGCTGGTTGTGTTTTCTGGTAAGCGTAACGTACCGTTATCAAATGCCTCGACCCTCCTAGTAAGATAGGCCTCAAAGGACGATCATTTTTGGCGCGACGCTACAGGATTTCATCTGGCTTATTCATCGGCTCCGTGGAATTTTTTTCTTCTTGTTTTTGTCGCTTCGAACGATTTTCATGGCGGTTACGTCACTCGACCTTCGCGTGTCCTCACTTTTTCGAGGTAGAATCCGCTCATGATATCAACGAACGCAGAAGAACTACTAGGGAGAACAGTTTGTTCTAGTGTAGGGATCCAATAGTCATCAATTGGGTTTTTTGAAACAGTGTGGCTAACCTTAACCTTCGCGTGGGCTCTCTTTTCTCACTGGGACCATGCGACCATGCATGTGTTTTTGATGGGGTTTTTTATTCCCTTCCCCAAAGGACTCCCACCTTCAAGACGTGGCGGACTTGACGGAGGGATTTTCGGGGCGAGAGATAGCCAAGCTGGCCATCGCGTGGCAGGCGGCGGCGTACGGGACGCCAGACTCTTCCTTCAACGCGGAGCTAATGACGGAAGTCTTGCAGGTGGGTTGGTTCCATGGTAGTGTTTTTTGTTTGTGTCGTTCCGCCTCCAGACTCTTGGCTCGACGCAGAACTAACGACGGAAGTCTTAGAAAAGTGACTTGCATGGTACACAGTCATTAGTAACTTTCCGCCACCGAAATCTTCCTTCAACGAAGAGTTAATGGCGAAAGTCGTGGAGGTGGGTTCCATGGTGGTGCTTTTGTGTGTGTGTTTGTTGTAACGTCCCGCTGCTAGACCCTTCAACGCGGAGCTTATCACGGAAACCTTGGCGGCGCGTTCCGTATTCCATACCATATTTGTCTCGTTTTTTTTGTGTTGTGTCATTCCGGCTTCGTTCGTCGAGTTGTCGGGCGTTTCAGCAAAGCATCTGAACACCTCCATACAGTAGTGCAACCTGCGCATATGCTTGTCTTGGAAATATACGCGCTCTCTTCACAAGACACGCCTGATTTACTGCCCTCTTTGCCGACACCCCTCGCCCACCCAGATGATATTTCGAAGCAGTGGGTTGAGATCGTAGCTTGTACGCCGCATTGGTTTCTGCGAGCCACAAGGGAAGTTTCGTCGAACGCTTGCTTCCTGAAGCGCAGAAGGACCAGCCAATATCCCGTGTCTGATTTTTTCCTTTCCATCCCCTCCGTCGCTTTGTGCGGTGCGTTCTTTTCATGCACACGCCACAGGCGCACCTGCAGCAAAAGAGACAGAAGCAGGCCTGGCTCGAAGGGGCGCAGACTAGTTCAGGCGGGTTGATCATGCCACCCCCTTCCAAAACAGCGGGGGCGACCGTCGAGCCAATCACACCACGGCTAGTGCGAACGCTCACGCAGGATGCGGCAGAAGACGGCACGAAAGGGAACCCGAAGGGCACAAGCTAGTTGGGGGGAACCATTGGGGTAGCGGGAAGGGAAGGGGGGATGGTTGTAAGCCTGCTGGCATTCAGTGAGGGCGCACCTGATATATTTCGTTCCCGGGGTGCACCCCTTTTTTTTTGCTGTGCTCTGATTCCGTACTCTGTGGAGTGTCGTAATCTTGGCTCTGAGCACCACTCGCAGCTGCTTAAGTATTATTATTGTGGGATGTGCGGAATCCAGCTTCGATGCACAACGTAGGCTTCGACGGCATGGAGGTAGGGAAGGTTTTCCGCTGTTCCTCTCGGATGCGATAAAGCAATGGCAGACGTTACGTGCCTATCCCATGACTCTGGTCCATGCACCGGATATCCATCGAAAGGTGTGCCTTGCTCAATGGACTATTCCGCAATGCCCTCTGACTTGACATTCGAGTGCTCTCCAGCGGAAGAAAGTCTTGGGGGACTCCATGTCGTGCGGCCACGTTTTCGGCCGCAACAACTGTTATTGTCGCGTTCATCTTTGAATCTGCTGGGCGGACGCAAGCAACCGCTGTCACCTTCTGGAAACGTTCGAAACGAGCAAGCGCACCGTGAGGAATCGAAGAGGAAATTCGCATTCAAGTCTTGTACCGCCAGCACCAGCATCAGCACCAGCTCGAGCGCTTCAGTCGAACATACTTTGTAACGCTGCGGGTCCACCCGAACACCTATATCACTCGCAGGCCCTGAACTCCGCGTTCATTGTTTCGCAGGCGTCAAAATGGGGCTAGGTTTGGTCGCGGGGAATCAGGCAAATTTCCCCAGGGCGAACTCTGCTACATAGTACGGCGATGGTGGGTTCAGCAGCACAAATCTATCTGTAGAGCCACGCCATTCGCCGGCGTTGATATGAACTTGACGGGACTGGTGTCGTGGTCGTCACAGGCAACCCTTGTGTATTCAGCGTGTCTTGCGCAAAGTTTCGAATGCAATAGCATGAACTATGCCCCGAGTAGTACTAGAACTCGGTCACACAACAGAGGTTAACTTGCTGCAGTTGATAACCCTGTTGGAGGTTCGAGTTTCATTGACTGAAAACTCTCGCAGTCTGAGCGCCAAGGGCCATCCCGTAAATCGTTATGGATCTATGTTGGAGATTCGAGCAAAGTGAAAACTCGTCGCAGTGGTGAGCACCTTGCACCTTTTCATCGAAGATGGAAGGGACTGCTATACTTGGGCTTTCTCGAAAATCCTCAAGTTGGAGATTCGAGTCTCATGAAGTGAAAAATCGTCACGGTCGTGAGCACCCTCAACGAACAGGAAAGGGACAGCCATAATAGGGCCTTCTCGTAAGTCCTCATGGATCTAAGCTAGAGGTTCGAGTGAAGTGAAAACTCTCGCAGTCGTGAGCACCTTCAACGAAGATGGAAGGGACTACTGTAATAGAGTCTTCTCGAAAATCCTCCAGTTGGAGATTCGATCATCATGAAGTGAAAAATCGTCACGGTCGTGAGCACCCTGAACGAAGAGGGAAGGGAGTGAGATGGAGGTTCGAGTGAAGTCGAATCTCTCGCATCGTGAGCACCCTCAACGAAGCGGAAAGGGACTGTAGGGTCGTCTCGTAAATCCTCATGGTTCTATGCTAGAGGTTTGAGCCTGATGTAGTGAAGACTCGTCACGGTCGTGAGCACCCTCAACGACGAGGGAAGGGACTGCTCAGGTCTTCTCGTAAATCCATATGGATCTACGTTGGAGGTTCGAGTGAAGTGAAAACTCTCGCAGTCGCGAGCACTCTCAACGAAGAGGGCAGGGACTGCTAGGGCCATCTCGTAAATCCTCATGGTGGTATGTTTGAGGTTCGAGTCTCATGAAGTGAAAAACCGTCACGGGTGTGAGCACGCTCAACCAAGAGGGAAAGGACTGCTCTAGGGCCTTCTCAAAAATCATTGTTTAATGTTGTCTCATGAAGTGAAAACTTGTCCCAGTCGTGAGCACCTTCAACGAAGAGGGAAGGGACTGCTTAGGAAGGCCTTCCGTGGGTATCTTGAGGCAGGCGCCGCAGGAAGAAAGATGTACAAAAAAACATCACGGGTGGTGCTATGAACCTTCCCACTGCCTTTGCTAGCCTCTGGCCGGTGCCCGAACATGCCGAAACTGCCATCGGATGTCACTCACAATAGTGGGGCACGTACGTAAACTAACTGTCCGCAGATGGCCGCTGATAACCTGCAGTCCTGCTTACTAATGTCCCCCCTCGCCATGTCATCTTGGCGACAACCCCGGGATCTGAGGTGTGTACCATTTCAGGATTAATTGTGGCAACATCACCCATGGCGTCACAGAAACAGAATACAAAGTGAAACTGTAAGGGGGTGGTGGGTGCGCAGGAGGTTTGGGGAGGGAACAAGTTGATTCTAGCGTCTTTGTGGAGGTTGTTTTACGTACCACCTCCTGCTCATTACAGTAGATAAATCACTTCTAATGAACCCCAGCTTTTCATCTCGACACAACCCCTTTCTTCCCAATCCGGGTGCAACAAACCCTCACCTACAAGCAGTACGTCAACACGGGCTCAAATCTAAGAAAGGGAAGACAGTACACCGGAAATTTATCCTCATCAAAAACCAAATCGAAACAAGGAAGAACTCAGTACCATGTGAAATACGACCGGAGGTCACAGGTAGTAGATCAATTACGAAACATGTTGCACAATATGAAAACATCCGACGAAGTTAGCCGGAAATACCGATCCCGCATCCGCTTGAAGGAAATCGAAAACAGCTCCTTTGAATCTGTAACGTTGGTTTGAAACACCAACATTTACTGCATCGCTGTCCCCTCTATCGGTAACCAAGATGGCCAGGAGAAGATTCTTGTTGTCAATGCGCTCTCTAACGATGGTACTGGCATGATGGCTAACGTGTCCCATGTAGTTGAAGCTCTTGCGTTTTCCGTCCCGGAAGAAGACATGAATTGGCTTCTGAAGCTCCAAAGCTCCTTTGAGAATCCAGTCGTCCCGCCCGCTGGTCTGCCCCTCGATCTTGAACGATGTATATTCGGAGCCCATGTCGACACGATCGTTGTACATCCCTTTGGTGATGCAGACGGTGACTGAGAGAGCGTCTATCAGGCGTAGGTCGGACGCCATCTTTGACCCGCTCTTCGTCTTGTAAAGTAGGCAACGACAGGAGGAGAGGAGGCGGTATGAAGAGAAAAATGGAGGCAGTAGATAGAGTGGTTATGGTTTGGTTTTAGGGAGGAACAGAGAAGCGCGGTTGAGGAACCTCTAGATAGATAGGTGTCTCGTTTGGTTCGACCCACCTCACGTCGAGACTTACTCGTTTTTCTGTGGGTGGGTCTAGGAATGGATATAAAGAATCCTGGTGATCGAGCAGCCCCCGAAACACCCGCCAGCAAGAGTATGGTTGGGGGACCCCACCCCCCTTACAACCAGCATCATCGTGAATGTGTTCTGAAAGAAGATCTTACATGAAAGATGGCTTCAATCTGCTAACAACCAGGTGATTCGTTGGCTTATTTCGCGCAGCGCATTGCTTGACGTATAACCCAAAAGAAGTGCGGTCCTACTGTAGGTAGTAGGTCGTCTGGATTGCGGCAGATTTTAAATGTACCGCGACGACAGCGGTTTTGATTCTTTTTCAATACGTTCGTGCCCGCAATTACTTATTGTTATGCCGTGTGTGACAAAACCTAACTCCACTTCACAGACAGGTAGACGTCACGCAGTGTCTTCTGCAAGAATCTGTATTTTGAATCATCATATTTTTCTGGAATTATTCAGGGGGTGCACGATTTTTTTTTCTTGACACCACCAATACATCAGCAGTATAGGAAAATGGGCTCGTGCACGTTGGCTCTTTCGCTCTCTCGCACCAGGGGCCTACTCCTACCCCCCCCATACTTCATACCCATGTATGTATCCCCCCATGGCGCACAGTGCATGTACCATGGTATGTATGTGACCCCGTGTGTATGGACCCGATTCTGCGAATCGGGTCCATATCTATCTGTGGATAGATCGGACAGATATCCAAACAAAGTGTACCCAAGGTACCACAAACAAACAACCAACCAAGTAGACATTACGGTATGGCAGTGACTTTTCCCATCTAGGGCTTTTACGCCCTCTGATTGGTCGATCATTGGATGGGGCGATTGATTCCTCTCCAGCGCCCTCTCCCCATTTCGGTATTCCGATAATAACAACGTGGCGCAACCGCGTTTTGGCCCAGTTCACGGCCGCTAGGCCGTGCGTTGGTCGTGGATGAGGGTGAGGATTAGGGTTGGGTTGGGTTGGGTTGGGTTGGGTTGGCCACGGTGTGTGACACATCCCATGTAAGGAACCTACAGGTTCAATGTCCGGTTAGACCTAAAGAGTCACAAACATACCAAATACTCCGCCAAATGAGCCCGTCGAAGAACCATCATTCCTTGTATGTGTTATTTAGGTTGTGTCAGTGATGCACCACCACACAGGAAGGTTGTCTGTGAGATCAATGTTTTTTTGTGTGGTATGGGGACATGGGAACAAACCAAACAGGAGTCAGATCAAGCGGACGAACTTTCCTGTCTTGTTTTTTGTGGTCCGTAGTTGACCCGTTGTGTTGAGGCTATCCCTTGGTATCATGTCGTCGCCAATCAATGTTGTGAACATCATTGGTGAAGGACGATACAGCAGTCAGTCATCTTCATGCGGAGACGTAGAGGCACTAGAGAGGCGCATATAGAGACACGTAGACAAGTTTACCCACCTGGAAGGAGCTAACCAGCAGCAGAAGAAGACGTTCTTGGCAAGTTCTTGCGCGCGCGACCCCTTGCCCTCTTGACCTAATCAGTCTTCAGCCTTCAGCTCTTCGACTCTTCGACTGTGCTACGGAGGTGAAGCGTTAGCTATTACGCCGCCGGGACTGTACAGCAGGCTGTAGGCGAAAAAATACGCTCTCATTATAATTCGAGCGCCAAGCCTTGGGTGCGCAGAAGCAACCAACCACAACTAGAGCTTACTCGCGAGAATCACCAGCTGAAGCCCTTTTGTCCCGACCTTGAAGATGCCGCCAACTCCAGAGGAAGCAGCCAACAAGCGAAAACGAAAGAATCTGACCACAGCAGAAAAACGCGGCATGATCTTCGAGCTCTTGGAGGGCACCAACAACGGCATCCTCACGCACGGTGACCTCGGCAGGGTGGCAGACATGTACCAGCAGCACCGGTGAGGAAAGGGACTCTGGTGCATGGTCCTTACTCTCTCGCTCACCTATGCATGGGCTCCGTGCGTACCAACAAGACAAATGCCCTGTACATGGAAGCACGTCTTCCACATCTCCACCCTGAAGGCATGGGCAGCAACACCGACCGCCCAGGGTGGGAGGGTGTGTGTGTTCATGGGCTACCGATGTACATACGTTCTACCGGGTATAGCTAAGTGTGAAAGCAGTTGGTTTTCGGAACGAAGCGGAGGAGGGGTTGGGGGGGGCGGAGTCTGTCCGAACGGGCATGGTGCGCCGGCATGCGGTGAACTACCGATTGAGGCGCCCGATCTCGTAAGAACCCAGCCAGATTGCTTGGTGGTCCGGCAGTAATAGTGGCGATTATCGGCCACCACGGTATACTCTGGATGGTCTTGTGACGGTACTGACGGGTGCGGTTAGAAGTGAAAATGAACACTAGCTTTTGAGATGTAGTACGAGGAATGGTACTCCGTGCCACCAACTACTGCCAACCCGGGGATTATGTACTACAATCCCAGTTACCCCCAGATGTTTTCACACCCTTAAGTTGGCATTGGCCGTGGTATCTGACAGGGTGCTGTTCGGTCTCAAAGAGAGCCGTCTGTTCCTTGCCACTCCAAATGTGAACGATACTCCGGCAATTCCAGCACGGAGTTAGTAATCCCAAAAGGAGGAATGAAAGACGCACATCAATCAATTGACCGGCCTCTGCTCACTCTGCTGAGGATCTCCTCCCAGAGTAGTCGGGTCCTCGATCCATGCTCTTGTGTTCTTCAGAACTCATGTCGTAGTATGAACTTGGGGATTCCTTCACGAAAATTGAACAGCGGCATCAGTAACACGAGAAGACGCTCGCTTCCTCCGGGTGGGGGCGAGACAAGGACGTATACATATTCTGCACCACCGCATGGTGTTCAAAATGTTGCTGCATCTCTCCGCCCCGTAGCGATCAAGAGGGGCCAAGACACGGCATCCAACACCGAGGCCAGGCCATCTCAGGGCACACCTCACATCTCGCGCGTCACCGCGACAAGAGCATCACAGCCACTGTTCACATCTCTGGAAACAAACGCTGGGACTGACCGGCCCTCTGCCGCGCTCCTTCGTTCTCCCCTACTTCTAACATTACCCGTATACCAAAAAACACAAGTAACTACAGCAACCGCCAGAGCCACCGACGATGCATCTGATGCAAGTAAAAAAAAACGGCGTCTGGTTGTACGCAACGCCTTTAGTACCAAGCAACGGGTTTGGCAAACCGCTACGTACGACAACATACAACAACCCGATGAGAAAGGAACGTTCTACATACTGCATTAGAATCTGCGGAACGAGTAGCTCTTGTTTCGTCGGTAGGCCTCGAAGGCATCCTGTTCCGCTGCGTCCGTCTTCTTCTTGATGCTGCCGTCCCCTCCCCCGATGCCCGACTTGTCCATCTGCAAAAAACAAGGGCGAAAACAAGTCAAAACTAACCATGTTTGGATGAATGTCTCAGGGCCAACTTTTCTTGTTTTGCTTTTCAGAGGTTCTTGCCCTTTTTGGATATAGTTTGGGCTGTGGCCATGGGAGGCGCCCGCGTCAGTTGGGCGGGTGCGGATGTTCGAAGGTACTGAGCAACGACCGCCAAGGTTTCTTAAAGTGAAGGCAACAAGTGGCAACACCTGCGGTAGCAGTCATCAGGCGTGCACATGGAACGGTCTGATGACGCTAACACCGAGGAGACCCTGGCTGGACACGATATTCCCTCTTGCATGGAGGGTCGCGACACGAATGCAGTCATAAACTACACGTTATAGGGTCGAATCCGTGCGATATGTGGGTGGCAGGTTGGCAACTAACCGTTGATGACACCTCTCGCAAGCAAAAACAAGTACTCACTCGGTCGAACGACCGATGGTAGAAAAAAGAAGAAAATAAAAAACATACAAACGCCATCGAGACCTGAGGCCTCCAACCTCTTCGCGCAGGCACAACAACACGCCGTTAAACACATGTCCACAAAAAAAAACACCCCACTGGTATGTAGACCAAACCAAACGTCAACAACGACCGAGACCAAGACCGCTGGCCACACCCCAGTGCTGCTTCGATGCGAAGGAAACAAGCAATAACGCATGAAATAGAGCGGGTTAGCCAACCAGCAGGCAGTCCTTTATTGAATTGACACTTGCCTGGCCGGAGCCGGAGATGGGTTCCACCATGCCTGATCTTGACGAGCCGAGGCCGGTGCCTTCGCTCCATCCTGTCATGACGTCATGAGGGTCAACGACGAGAAACACGGCCGGGAATCATGAGAAGAGTTCAATAGTGGTTGAGGCCAATCGAGTGCCCGGGAGTTGAGCAGTAACATGCACACCCAAAACAAGCAAGAGGAGACACAACAGCAACAACATCATCGGCAACAACAGACGCGACTACCGCTTCAACATCAACATCAACAACACAACAACAGCGACAACCACACCAAACAAACAAACAAACAAACAAGTGAAGACCAACAACAACAACAACAAACAAACAAACAAACAAACAAACAAACAAACAAACAAACGACGACCAACTCACCCATCTTCTTGAGGAGGTTGTGGCCGATGTTCTCCTCGCCCAGAACCTTTTCCCTGCCCTGCATGTCGCTCTCGAGCTCAAGCTGCGCCTGCTTCGCCCGAAGGCCTTGCTGGCTGCCTCCGGCCCCGAACCCCTCGTCCCGATTCCTGCACAAAACGAAGCCACAGGCAATAGCCGTTTCACCGTGAAACAAAACATACTCGAGTATATAAGAACGTGTATGCAAGTCTTTCTGTGTTTGTTTGTAAATTATCTGTTAAGGAAAGGCGCTATTTGTGCCCAGACTCTTGACGAGTCGGCCGCGAGGAAACCGTGTGGTCTGGCGGCACATTGGAGACCGGCTCAGAATACTCGCTGCTTTGAACCGTCGCGGACGCCACCACCACCACCAACACAGAGTACTCCAAATCCCCAACACGCGCTGGGGATGGAAAAATCGAGGTGTTACAGTTGTTTGTTCGAGATTGGTGAAGGGAACAAAAAGTTAAGTCGTTGTATTGTTTATCATTCTTGGGGTTTGATGCACCGAGGCAAGCACACTGCATAGGTAAAGGGATCTTGCTATTAGTGAACGTCAAACGTTTGCAAGGGAGTCAGCGAGTCCGTCAAAACCAGAACCACTCTAAAGAAACAATCCGTTATAGACCGCAGTGACGGGATGCCAACTGACTACTTCCGCTGTGTACCGTACCTTCGGCCCCTGTCGTTTTGCCCGCTGCCGCCCCCGCCACCTTCTTTCCCCGCGAGTTTCCTCTCTTCCTCCACTTTTCTCTGCTCCTTCTCCTTCTTCCGCTCCTCGTGCACTTGTTCGAGAGTGGCCCGGCTATAGAACTCATCCACGCGGACCTTTTTGTTAGGCCGGGTGCAAAACAAAAGACAAGAAGCGACGCAACAAGGGTTGAATAAGAGACAAGCCAAAATAGAAACGAAACATGAAACTGAAACAAAAAAACTTGTATCCGCTCACGCGAGACACGCGACCCACCAAGGGATAGCAATCAAGAGACAAATCAACCCGACAACAAAAACAAAACAAAACAATTTCTAACCACTCAGCAAAAAATGTGGTAGTGAGAGTGATGAAGGAAATCGTCAACCCGAAACCCTAGCACCGGCGGTAAACGTTACTTTCACATTCACGCCGATATTGTCGAACAACGAAGACGTCGACGACCACCACGATGGCGACAACGGTTGACCAAACCGCTACCTCGCACGGCGGTGGCAACCCGCAAACGTTTCGAATGCTGCACGGGCTCTGTACCAGCCAAAAGGGCCAGGGAAGGATCGAAATACTCACGTCTAGTCTCCCGGGCTCGATGTGAGGAGTCACGTACTTGGGCAGCAGCTTGATGTCCACCGGCTTGTATCTCCGGAACCCATTCCGAAGAGAAACCTACGCACAAGTCATGTCACAGCAAAATTTGCACAAAAAACGAAAGTATCAGACAGATGGATGGAAAAGTAAAATCACCAGACATTGCGGGGGGCAGTGGTGCAGCGAAATCTGTGTGGCTTGTCTGGTTTCGCCTCGTGAAATAACAGATCCACACGTGGACGCGGGCGCAACACGTAAGGGTACCCCCTGAGCAAGGAAGGACCAACTTGCTTATCTCCCTCTCACATGCCCGCCCTCTGCCTCTCTCATCCTCTGGTGCCTATGGTCTCTCTCTCTGCTTCTCTCCGTCACTATTTCACTCCCACCACGACGCCTCATGGCATCGTTCGCATGTCTCCAGTATATGCATCTGCGATTGTCCATCGGTCTAATGCCAATCATGGCTCGCTCTTCCCCTCGCCCATCTCCCTGGCCGACACACCCCTCTGTACACACACGCAAACACTGCACAGAAAACTACCCAGAAGTGATCGTCTTTCCGGGCAATGGGCAACGGGCAACAACCACTTGATATCTCTTGTTTCTTTCTCGCCACGTTTCTTTTTCCATTTTCGCTGTTTTCTAACCAGTCTAAGTAGCAGCGATTAGTAGTGCATAGCCAAGCTGCTCCCCCCCCTCCCCCCGCGTTGCTGAGGCTCACCCTGAGGATCCCGGCCATCGTGCCCACCGGCAGCTTCTCGAGCATGTTATCCGTCCCGTGTGCCGTGCTGGCCAGCCCTGCCGCCACCGGGAACTTGCTGGCGTTGTCGCTCTGAACGCTCTGCGCCTTGCCCCTGCGTAGCACCGAAAGGCGCCGGCGGCAAAAAACAGGGTGGTCGAACAAAGGTTATGGGACGAGCTGCTCCGAACAACAAGCGTGTGCCTTCCTTAAGTGGTATCCTTCCGTTACATTTCGTATTGCTTTCCCTGCAAGTTTGATTGGTACACCTTGCTGCGTCTTGCCTCTGTTGACAAAAGGCGAAACGCGGTGACCGAACAAGGTTATGGGACAACCACGAAGTGAGGGTCATCTCCATACCATGCTCTTTCAACCGTATGTTCACGGCTGTGTTGTGTGTGATTTCCAATTTGTACCACACTTTTGCAATACCAGTTGGTGTTTTGGACGCACCAGCCGGGGCCACACTGAAGGGAGAACCAAACACTGGAGTGTTTGTTTTTACTTTCTGTTTTCTCGACTGTCCTTCTCATACCAACGACTTGCAAAAAGCGAGAAAAACCGCATACGGAGTACGTGACAACACGCAAACTGCCGAAATAGAAACCAATAGAAACACACCGCCACAAACGCGGAAACAACCGAGCCAAAAAAAACTATACAAAAAAACAAAACGGGACAAAAAAACAACACAAAAAACATCAAACAGAGAAACCTACAGTAACACACCATTAAAAACACCCAACAAAAAAAAAAAAACAAAAACAAAAACAAAAACTGCGAAAAAAAAAATACAAAAACTCACATCACCGGGTACAGCGCCCCCCGCCAGGGGTACTGCACGTGGCACGCGGGCATCGTTTCGGGTGCCGATGCCAG